TTTTTTTTTTCTAGATTTGGGGTTACACGACGAACAATGGCACAAAAACGATGTGCAACCTGTACAACGGCACTGTTGTCTCAATATTGTCAGCAGCAGAACAAAACTTCATCGACAGTAAGTTACAAATTTAATCCAGTTTGCACCCAGGCTAAAGTCAAAAGCCTTGTTTTCTCAGTCGTTCAAGATGTTTTCTGGTATAACGTGGCACTATAACTACACTTCGTTCCATAGCAATTCCAAAGCACAAATCTCTTGCTTATTTTCCTTTATAGATTGTTTGTTGTTCAAATAAAAGACTAGAAAGTTGAAATGTCATAATGTATTGTCGCAAAAGAAGAATCTTATAAAAACTATTACTTGCAGCGAAAATAGATAGAGCATATAAAAAAGAGCTGTTGCAGGTAAATACGCCAATCCAAGAAAAGCATACTGGCTGGGACTGACAAGAAACGGGTCTACCTGGCAATGGACTGACGGTAGTCCATTTTCCTACAGCAACTTCAGAGCAATGCAGACGTTCCCAAATGAGCAGTGTGTTATGGTTGGCGCTAGCGAACCAACCGACTCGTTTTGGGATATTAGACACTGTAATTTCTCTAAGGTACAACAACTAGTAGTCTGCAAGAGACGCAATCCAGGTAATTGAAGTAATTAATTTTAAAATTTACTATCTATTTAAACGCAAAAGTATATATTAGAATGCTTTTTTTCGAGCACACGGAAAAAAGAAACAACATACAAAAAGGGCTGTTCACTAAGCTGCATACGCAGCGTTAATGCAGTTCAATTACTTGCCTATTAAAAGACTGATGTTACACGACAAACTTCCAAACAACTATATGCCTTCATAAAACTAACATGGAGAAAGAAGTACAATTAATTTGTTACTTAATGCAGCGGTAGAAAAGTGCAAAAAATAAATAAATAAATAAATAAAATTTAAGTTCAAGTTGAACAAATTGTCAGAAAGGTTTCCTTCTAAAATCTTTTGATAAAATGTGGTATATATATATATATATATATATATATATA